TTTGTTGTGATATGACTTTTCGTTTCAAAGGTAAAATTCGAAGAATCGGTTTTCGGTGAGACCGATTTTTTGAATTCCTTGAAACCAACTTTTACTTCTAAATGAAAATGCATGTCACAATAGTTGTGAGCACCTCTGCATTCTATCCATGCACTTAATTCACCCATCTGCAGGCTTGTTGGGAGAAACATGAGTTGGCCAACCATAATCGAGTGATTTTTTGTTGAGATTGGAATATTAAGCATAAAAAGTGTGTATAACTGCAGTCGGCAACGTGCTTCTCTTAAGCATATTGGCCCTTTTCTCATACATTTTGGTCGCTCGCTATGATGATGTCCGCCATCTGACAGACGAAACCTCAGCACGGATTTATCACGGAATGGTATATCGAGGAATTATGAGCACAAATCAGAAGTCATAACTGCAAGGCAATGATCATGTTTGACTTTCCGCTAAAGCTAAACTCCCATCCCTTCCATCCTATTTTTCTTTCGAAATTACACATTAAAATGACGATTGTTATTTCTGTTAACGGCACTTTAGGCTGTGAAGGAACTGGGATCTGAACTAGACTTGCTAGTAGCTGCTGCCTATCCACTCAAAATCAGGCTTTACTTTCAGTTCAATCTTTGATGAATCTCTTCATCTCCACTTGGTCAGATTTTCACATATTTACAGAAGTTGCTACTAAGATGATGCCTGGAGCTCTTCTTCGTCGACATCCATTCCAGTCTTCTTCAAAAAGGTCACATTAAGCCTTTGGCATTTTGATTTATATACATTCAAGCAACCTCTTTTCTCTCTTTCTCTACAATTTATCTCTAGCCGGTCTGTGCAAAAGTTGATAGACTTAATACTCGTTGTTTGGGCATGGTGCTGGTCCACTCGTCCATCAAATAGGCGACCTGTTTTATGTACCAGACGGTGCGTACCTCCTCGGCCCAGGAGCTCGTTACTGGGCTTCTGACTACACTCCACCTGCTTCTGATGTACCCATTTAAGAAGAATTTACTGACCTTAAGCCGTTTTTTGCTTTTTTTTCTCATTATATCATCTTATACTCTTCCACCTCGGCCGGCAAATTTTACAAGATGGTTTGGTATCTTTTCCAACTAAAATCAATTCTTGAGAGGAAATATACTTAATGAGCTTCACTTTTAAGATTTTTTCTCTTAATCATCCTTTCCCTTCTCGATCCTATTTTGACGAGAAGTCAACTTTTGCATTCTTTATTAAACATCCTAAGAGATATATCTATTCTACGGTCGCTGCTATGCGTATTGTTGATTCACTTTACATCTTCTCTGGATTTCCACATCCTCAGCATTGGCCCCTTATTCGGGTGTCAGGGCTTGAAACCACTTGTGAGCGAGATCAACGTCTGTGTTTCAAGGTCCAGTCTACAGTTGACTTCCAATTGATGATGATTTTCAGCGACATGCCCAAAAGCAGCTTCCTCATTCTCCCAGTTTTAGGCTATCACAGAGCCGCTATCTCACATTCGACCAAGACACAGAGACCGGAGACTTAAGACATCCTGTCCGTCAGAGTGATGGTTGCCATACCGACTCTAGCTTGTAATTCCTCTTTACTGCTTCCACGAAGGCACCGTAAGGGCTGATCCCTCTCTGTATACACTTTATTTATCACTTTATTCTGTAGTCCAGGTTCTCTCTAGCATTACGCGTTTTCAGCTGCTTCGTTCACCCACCAAGCGAGTCCACCTACTTAAGAAGGAGGGGGCGTGAGAGGCAAAAGTATAGCTATTTGTCGGTAGAGGAGTAAGGAGATATTTGCTTAGATCTGAGCCTTTGATGTCTCTTGTATCAAGAGATCAGCCGAATTCGCCGACTCTTATTCTCCACAAAAGGTGCATGACTAAATATGTGCCTTTTTTGTTGCAGCGAGATATGACTGCATATGGTGTTATTTGCGCGTGTGCACAGGCCCATGTGTGTTTCCGTGTGTTTTCTATGCTGGACTAATTAAGACTTGCTTCATCCTTCACCAGCTTTCCTATACTGACTTTATTGCCCCATACCAGCTCTCCAAGCTGACGACGCTCTGCCGCAGGCTTTCTCATAAAAACAAATTCATTCTGCCATAGTTTCGATAAGCATATATCTAGG